ATCTAAGACTTTTAAGTGCGCCTTATGGTCGTGAAAATACGGTAACGTGAACATGGCCCTTTATGGTCAGAACAAGGATGTGCTAAATTGTAGGCATCCAGATGTGGAGAAGAAAAGTCAGTTTTGTAGAAAGGTCACGTCACAATCACATCAAGATTTTAGAAATGGGAGTGGGAAGTGCCATAAATCCTGTTTATAAATGAGAACCTATTTGTTTGGTTTGTGTTGGAGAGGCACGACATCTGACTCAAATGAAAGGACACTGAAGTCTAAAGAGAAAATTCGTGGTTTTAACGTTTAGTCGCAAAATTATCAGTTGAGTTTGTACTGAAGAACATCCTGCAAACCACTTAATGAAGAGTTTGGTAGGAATCATCAGTCGAGTCATGACTCAAGTTCTACTTGGTGATATAAATGACATATCATGTACTTTAAAAAAGTCTTCACTCTGCTGTCCTGCTACAGAAACCGCTTTAGTGAAGGTTATACATTATCTTCTCATGGCCTCTGACAGTGGACTCATCTCTGTGCTTGTCCTGGTAGACCTCAGTGCAGCGTTTGATACTGTTGACTATAATATTCTATTATTATTAGAATATTATAGTCAGAGCATGCTGTAGGTAGGTACGGCGCTGCAGCGGTTTGAATCATATCTATCTAATAGACTGTAAATAGGAGTTCCTCATTAATTATGATACTGCCCCTGTGATAGCACACATTTTCACTGCTATGCAGATGATATCCAACTTTTTTTATCCATTAAAATCGGAAAAATTAAATATATGTGTTTCAACCTCTATGGACCCACAACACCAAAACACAACAGCAGTCGCCTCAAGGTGCTTTATATTATAAGATGAAGATCTAACGATAATCGTATTTACTGTCTCTGAGACTCAGACTGACTTTCTGTCAGATTTATGGAAACATGAGTTTGGGTTTGAAAAGGATTCTGGAAGAATCAGGTCTCCAGCACATTTTTATATCCACAGCTGTATAAATCAATGTTTAGAGCTGATTTCACTGAGAAACAAATGGATTCAGCTTTATTATCCCATCAGTGATCTCTTACAGAATAACTACCTGTTTATTTTCAATGAACCTGCGAGGAGCTGCTCACTTTGTAAAAATGATAAAACACCCATGTGTCTCTAAGAAACACTAACCTGGTTTTCTTAAATTACTTTGCCAGACAAAGATTTGCAGCAGTTTTCATTTGTTGTTTTACAGTTAAATTCATATATATATTAATTTAATATGATGTACCACCATAAAAAATCGTATGTGAAAACCTTTAACAGAAAATTAAAAATAGTTAAATGATAACTCCTGCTGAGTTTTCCTTTACTGTATCACTGACTGAGCTGTGGACTGAGCTGAGAATCAAATCAGTGGGAGATTTCTGGTCAGAGCTCAGTCAAAGGTCAATGGAGGACCACAAGAGCCACATACATTGAAATAAAGAATTCTGTGCTTAAATAATGTTGTAGAATAAATTCTGCATTTTAAAAAAAAAATCATTTTATTTATTCATCGATTTATTTATAACATTACTAAAGTAATTTATTATTGAATAATTTAATTTTAAATAAAAACACTATTTTACTCTATAGTACTTTATTATTAAGAGCAAATGTATTAGTTACACAAAGTTGTTTATAATCGAATTATATATCGAGCTCAGTCTTGCATCATTTCGATTGGAGTGATTTATTACACCTGATCTGGTTCGTCTAGCCAGTATTGACTGAACACTTGGAGACAAGCAGGAAATACAGTTTCAACATTGCAATGCATCATAATTTGCAATGATGTCATAATGAGAGTTCTTTAGTGTGAAAGTACACAGTAAATACATTTAGACAGATACACACAGGTTGACTTTTATGAGGGTAGCAGAATAAAATATATGCTCTCTTCACCACTGTATGTGCACTGCTCCTCTTTATAGCTTCATTGTTTTGATCAGTCTTGACTTTATGATTTATCAAGCCTCATGTTCATTTTAGTATCCTAACACCCCCTTATTATCATCGCACACTGTATCTTATGCTGTATCAGACACACTTAACTTACAAACAACAGATTTTTCAAGCTTCTCAAATCATGTATTCTCAAAGTGCCATTCCAATTCACAGAAAACGAAAAAAGCATAATATTCCAAACCATTTAAAGATAAAAAAAAAGAGGAAGAAAAGGAGGAGTGTCTTAAATGTCCGCCATGTCAAGTCCTTTAAAAGATTCTGTGGTCAGATCTGTGCTCTGTGTGCTCACAGACATCTGCGGACCTGCTCTCAGTGTGTCGCTCCTGTCCTCAACATCTCTGCACCCTGCACTCAGCTCTTTCTGTACACCGTTATAAATGTGCCACAAAACCAATCAATCACAGACTTTGATGCAAAAATTCTGATTGACTTTTGGTCTCCAATCAGCTCGCTAGCTTCTGCATTCCAGAAACACTGTCCAAAGTGTAGCTAAATCCAGTGGAGTGGTTTGGTTTAAACTAGATTAAAACCAACAATGGTTTTAATATATATTTTAAAATAACTAAAATAAAATAACATACTAACCGAAAATGGGTTTAGCTGCACTTTGGAGAGTGTTTCCAGTATATGCTGGTATTTACATATAAAACTTGAATTCATGGAGGGTTAAACTGCAGCTCCTGGTACCGGGGGAGCTGGGGTCAAGACATATTGTGAAAATATATATTGTGTATTTTGATGTAGCCAAAAAATATTGCAATATTAGATTTTCCTCATATTGCCCAGCCCTACCATAGAGGCTAGAGGCTATTAAACAAGCTTTTCTCCACTTGTTAAAGCAATTTTAATCAAAATTATGACATCACCTTGTAAATTCTGTAAATCCTTGCATTGAAGTTTTCATGAAAGTGTACAAAACCACAAGCATTTTAACAAATATGGAATGCTTAACAAAGCTATGCTTCATTCCTTCATTTTGAAGTTCCAGGTTGTTTGAAAGAGTTTTTTCCCCTTTCAAAATCATGGATGTTAAATGTAATAAAAAATAAATAAATCGGCAATTCAAAGTGCGTTATCCTGTATTCAGGCACTGTTTGAGGTAAGTGCAGTCTTTCCATAACTCCAGATAGCAACAAAAATTTCTGGCACAACTTCACCTTCTTTCTTAAATTGATTTAAGACTAATGGAATATGAAAATAAAACAAAGGACCTCAAAAGAGCCAAATTCCTAAGAGATGAGATTATGCAAAAAGGGATTCACACACCCATGGTCCAAAGATACTCAATTCAACTATGAATGCTGCCACGATCACTGAACCACACCAAACGCAACAGAAAGTTTGTTTTAAGAAAACACATCCAAGGCTTCCTTTAACTACCACAAATAAGAAAAAG